ACACACAGCTTGGACTTGCTCGGACTTGTTAGTGGGAGAGTGTATAACTTCGTCGACAGAAAAAAGTGAGTAGAACAAGAAACAACAAATATTGCAGTTATATAATTTGCATGATTTAAAAATGTTCGTCAGTAAAAGATATTCGTTGCTATTAAAATGTATATTTGATGTAAACGTCTCGCTAAAGTTGTCGGTAGCATTCTAGTCACTGCAGTTTTAGAAAGTTTCGGCCAATGTTTTTTTTCCCCAAATTTAGTTTTAAATTGGTTACTTAAGCGTAGACTGATTGTGTCCGCAAACTCCCCTGTTAGACAGTTTATAGTTTCTAATTAATGGTATACAAATTTTGCTACTGAAAAAGAAAAAAAGTTTATGTATAAATATTTATTTAGTTCCGAATCTGTTTAGCTTTAGTGAGCTAGGCAGCTCTTTTACAAATGTTACATCAATACACATGTTGTGTAATGTGTTTTTAGGCAGAGTGAAGTAATTATTACTGTATATGACAATTATACTTNATCGCATTTGCTAGCCGAGGGCTGAAGCCCACTGAGAGGAACATGGACAACTATAGTTCAATGAAACTTGAACTTCTTGCATTGAAGTGGGCAGTGACAGAAAAGTTCAGAGAATATTTGCTTGGGAATCAGTTTACCATCTTGACTGATAATAATCCTCTTAGCCACTTGCAAACTGCCAAGTTGGGGGCGATTGAACAACGTTGGGCTGCTCAGCTGGCTTCTTTTAATTTTTCTATCAAGTATCGCCCAGGAAAGAGTAACGGAAATGCGGATGCATTGTCTCGGCAGTATTTGGAGCGTTTTAGTGTCGGGACCGAGGTCCCATTGTTGGGACCCCTGGCCGCTGTCTGCCAATCGTCTAACACTGAGGCTCAGTGTGGAGAAGTTGTAGCATTACCTGGCCGCACACCTCAAGATTTGGGTCTGCTACAGGAGGCAGACTCTATCATTGGCCCAGTCCGCAAGTTCTATCGAGAGAGGCGACGTCCACGGGCAGAGGAACGGGAGTCTTTATCCAGCTCTAGCAGAGCACTGCTGCGCCAATGGGATCGTCTCATTTGGCGGGAAGAGGTATTATACCGAATTGTCCATGGCCCAGGGGGGGGCCCGGAGACATTTCAGCTGTTACTTCCCCTGTGTTTGCAAGATGAGGTCCTACGTAGTGTCCACGACCATCAGGGGCATCAGGGTATAGAGAGAACCCTCCAGCTCCTTCGGAGCCGATGTTTTTGGCCAAATATGACGAGGGATGCTGAACGGTGGTGCCGGCAGTGTCGACGGTGTGCACTGGGGAAGGCTGTTCAGCCAAAGGTTCGTGCTCACTGGGGAACGTTACAGGCAACCCAGCCTAATGAGATTCTGGCCATTGATTTTACCATCTTGGAACCTGCTAGCGATGGTCGAGAGAATGTGTTGATCTTTACCGATGTTTTTACTAAATACTCTCAAGCAATTCCCACCCGAGACCAAAGGGCCTCCACCGTGGCTCGGATTTTGGTCCAACAGTGGTTTCATCGTTTCGGGCCCCCAGCCCGTATCCATTCAGACCAGGGGCGAAACTTTGAGAGTAGGCTGATTCAACAGTTGTGCCAGCTCTACGGTATTCAGAAGAGCAGGACGCCGCCTTACCATCCGCAGGGTAACGGCCAGTGCGAAAGATTCAATCGCACGTTGCACGACCTATTACGTACCCTGCCGCCTGCTGAAAAACGACATTGAAAAACGATCATCACTTATCCCATCTGACTTTTGCGTATAATACAACACCACATCAGACTACGGGTCACACCCCATATTACCTCATGTTTGGGCACCTTCCAAGGTTGCCAGTGGATTTTCTGCTTGGAGCTGGAATGGAGGCCCAGGGCAGCGGTACCTTGGAAGAGTGGATACAGCAACATGAATGGAGTGTGAGGGTAACCCAGGAACATGTCCGGCAGAGAGCAGCCGCATTGGCTAACCAGCGGAATCAGAGGCATAATGACACTGTGGATGATCCTGGACTGGAAGCAGGCCAGATGGTGTACCTGCGTAATCGTGTACCGGGGCGCAACAAGATTCAAGACCACTGGAACTCTGTGGTGTTTCGAGTGGTGCAAAGACCCTTGGGCACTGGAGCAGTGTACACTGTGGCCCCGGTAGACGAAGATGGACCAGCTCGTCAGGTACACCGTTCCGAGCTGAGGGCAGTTCCCGAGGGGTTGCAACCTGGAACAGAGGTGGTTCTTCCCTCTGCAGAACAAGTAGATGTACCTGTTGACCTTGATATCCTAGAGGACGGTGCCGAGGTGGGCATGGTTGGCCTGTATCCGGATGAGCTTCAGAATGCCTGTGGTTCGCCTCCTTCCTGGGCTCCTGCTGCAGTGGACATCACACCGGGTAATATGGCCCCAGCTTTGAGACGTTCATCCAGAGCTACAGCAGGCCAACATTCCAACCCCTACCGGCTTCCCCGGGCAGTTGCTATCAGGATGGAAGAAGGGGAGTGGCCAGGTAGTGACGGCTAATGTGTCTAGCTGGGCTGCATCGTCGGGCCGCCGATTCATTTGGAGGGGGTGGGTTGTAGCCGGTGGGTTATGAGGCTGGTGGTGACAGCCATTTTTTTCTATCTTGTGGTTCCCTCCCTCTTTTTGATTGGGCGCAGTTACACAGTTCTGCTCTGCCACTGTTGCTAATTGGGGATTAGGACGGGCATTGATTGGGCCACCTACTGTATAAATATTCCTTAGTTGGGTACACCAGGGCACGTGGGGTCCTCCTGGCAGCAGGGTAGCTGATGCAGTTTGTGGTGTAGCAGTATTTGGGCTGTCTCTGCTTTCAGGTTTATATGGCTGTGCTGCGTTGTTAGTTGCTGTTTTCCGTACAGTGTGAATGTGGTGCTGCTCAATTTATATATGTATTTTGTTCTCCTCTAGCCTGTGTGTGATAGCGTAAGTGTGGTAGACACTAGGTGAGATTGCTCTGTATGCCACAGGCTGGAGTGGGTTTCATTTTTATATTTTCCTTTATCTTTGTTAACTCTTTAGCCCCCCCTCCTTGTACCTTTTAACTAACCAGGGTGTTGGGTGTACAGGGTAGCTTAATGTGTTAAGGGAGGTCACCCTGGAAGGCTGGGTTTTCTAGTCTTTTTGTATGAACGTTTGCAGTGCCACCCGGTGTGAAGCTCCGTTGTCCCTAACCCTTAAGGTGCCTGAATATGGTGAAGATTGTGGGGTGTTTTGGTTGCAGTGTATACTAGGATAGGTGTTTGCACAGTCACGTGTGGCCTAGAAGTCCCAGTCTCTCTCCAGGGTGTCTGTCCTCCCTGGGTTCAGCAGGCCTCTGCCCCAATGTCGTGGTGATTTTGTTCTGTTTCTTGCCTTTCTTTTTCATTAAGGTAGGGACCAATTTGACTGACGATTTAATCCAGTCACATGAGTGTGTATTAATAAAGATTGTATTTATATTTTCTTGTAAAATCTGTGTTTGTATTTATTTAAGCATTGGTCCCCTTGCTCTGACACTGTGAGTCGGTGAATTGCAAGGGGTGGCGTAGTCCGTGAATATACAGGGGTGCCACAATTTGGCGTAGTCGGCAGGATCTTCCATAATTTTCCTTCTGTAATTGTTTGTTTGGGGAAAGGGGGGGTTAGTTATATTGAGCAGCGCCTGTGTGTGTGTGTGTGTGGGAAAACAGCAGCTGGCAACAGAATGGATGCAGACGGCAGTGCTGAGGGATCGGCTGCGGCTTTGCAGCAACTACAGGAGCGTGTGGCCCAGCTTCAAGCTGAGAATGAGAGACTATCAAATGTGCGAAGAAGCACTGCGAGTGGGACTGACTCCCAGCCAGCGCGCAGGGAACAGGTGCTGTACCTACCTCGGGAGAGGCGGTGCCCTAGGTTTTCAGGCTCTGCTGTAGCAGGGTCTCTTTCTGTTGAAGAGAGGATTGAAGAAGCAGAAAGTTGTATAAGGTTGAGGTACATGTCTGATTTGGATAAAGCATTGTTCTTATATGACCATCTAGAGGGTGAAGCCCGCAATGAGATCAAATATCGGCCCGCTGCTGTTAAGGAAAGCCATGAGCAAATTATGACTGTTTTAAAAGAGGTGTATGGGTGTTCTAAGTCATATGTATATTGTAGTGCTGGGCAACGATTAAAATCTTTAATCGTAATTAATCGCATGATTTGTCTGATTAATCATGATTAATCGCAATGTTATGCGAAAATTTTATAATGAATTCAAAAGTAGTGTTTTGTGCACTTTATTTTAACCCTCTGGGGTCGGCGGTCCCGCCTGACAGAAATTTCGCCAAATCATGTAAGTAACATATAAACATTTAAAAAAACACCCTCAGAAACCTTGGATGGTCTACTTTTCAAATATATGTAGGTAGAAATTGTTGCCATTTTCAGCAGCAATTCTTGTACCTGTGTCCATGGCTCAGTGTGCTAAGCCTGTCTGCCTGTAATCACAAGATCGCCAGTTCAAACCCATCCTATTTAGAACGTGAATAGCGATCTTCAGCTGAGAGCAGTCCTATACACTCCTGATGCAAGTAAGACAAAGAAAGGTGGTACAGTTTGCCTTTTTTCCTATTNTATTTGCTGTCCAGAAAAGTGGTCATGGATTTTCAGTGCCTGTACATGTACAGAGAAAAGTCCTGGGAAAAGACCATCACATCATGTGTGAGTTAGAAGAATGTTATCAATATCAGTTGCTGGCTCTGCGAAGTGGGTTAGGCCACAGTTTATGTGAACACATCCGATCACTAGATTATTGTAAAGAAACTACAGTGGAGGTGACTCTTGATGAAGCTATTCTAATGGAAATGGTGCCTATGAAGTTTTTTGGAGAGTCCAGGGCTGCAGCCTGTTTGAAGAGACAGAAAATGGCCCAGAGTGCACATGTGCCACTTTGTGTCTTGGTTGATTTAGGCGGATTGTCATTACAGATTTGCCTGTCTATCCATGAGCCAGAAACTCATTGGCCAGAGTTTTTGTCGTCTTGGTAGGATATTTGTGACGTACAATATCCAAAGGAACACCTGGCATTGTCCTTGCACAAAGCCAAGAACGTCATGCCCTCATAAATGTATCGCAAAATGGCATCTGTTTCAAATGCAGAAACATCTATTCTGATCAGAGTTGCCATCACATCCTGGCCCAGCTGAATTTTCTTGTCAACAGGGCTCCACAAATTTAGACTTTAATGTTGTAAAACGCAGTGTCCAGTACATATACAAAGAAAAAAAAATTCCAGCCACTCTGCCAAAAGATGTAGTGCAGAAGGAGAAAATGGCATACCCAACAAAGCTGATACCCCTGGAAACGAAGTGCGAGTTGTACCCAGGTCATCCCACACTAGAAGATGCTGTACAGATTACAAAGCACGGATTGTGGGAATGATGGGAATGACTGACAGTAAGTCCGTAAATTGTAGCAATATTTAACATGAAATTTAAACAAAACTTGAAAACGTGATGTGCAGTAATTTCACAATGAAATTTCTTTTGCAGATATTTCAACATACCACAGAAGGTGTCCTCAGTGCTAGGTAATCTACAGGTACCAGGAGTGGAAAGATGGGCTTCACAACTATGACAACCGCACTGTGGTCACGCTGGAACTTTGTCTTTTTCTCAGACAAAATTTGCAGGTTAGTGAATAATATTGTGTTGTATTGACAGTATTGAGCATTGCAAAAATAAGCTTAATGTTATTATTTTAAAACCCAATTTTAAACACTTGATATATATGCTTTAGCAAACTGTAATTGTGAATATTATAAATTGTCTTTTACCATGACACAAAAACATTTAATGCATGACCACAATGATTCCTATTTTTTAGAATCATGTGTCTGTGTCGAGGGTAATCAGCTCTTTGGAGGGTTTACGGCAGGAGAGGTTTCCTCCCAGGGACACCATGTTTCATGCATATTGTCACTTTGAGGCATTGACTGACATCGACTACAGCTATTCCTGTGTCAACTGTGGATTTCACCCAGCTGTAGTAATAATGGATCTACACAGAAAAGGTGTTTTCAACTTGGAAGTCAAGTCCTTTTCATGTTCCTTAACATTTTTTTTAATAGTGTGTAAAGAATGCATGTAATGAATGCATTTGCATGAACATTATGCCGTTTACAGTGAGCGACCTCAGAATGCCCCCAGAAGGCTTCGAAGGCAAACATGACACTGTAGATTTTTGGAACTCCATTCATCTGGAAATGATAAGCCGTGGTTTTTTTCAGAGTAAGCAATATTTATTAATTATGTATTTTAGGATATGCTGCATGATTTGTTTGTAATCATTTCAATTTCAAATTTATATTAATATCTTTAGGTAATGCAAAAAATCCACTTGCCATTCATCCAAGTTACGACCGCTGGGCCCCATGGATTGGCAATGAAACACGTAAAGGTGACACTGTACTTAATACAGAATTTAAAAAGACTCAGCCAAGTACATCCTCAGATGAAGCCCAGCTGATCAGGATTACAGAGGACCGTCTTCTGGATGAACTGACCAAGCAAAAGGTAAAATTTGCCTGTATTTCATAATGTATTGAATAATCTTCAATTTGCAACATTTACAGTATGCATACATTTAATCAGGTTGGAGTTGTGAGGAAACTTTGCAAAGCCTGCAAAGTGAATTCCAAGGGATCTCGTTTAGATCTGATCACAAACCTGAGGAAAAAAATGAAAAATCGTCACACATATGACAAGATCTTCCAAAGCATCTGGGGAGCTTCTGGTAAATTACATAATTTATTTTTTGTTAAATATTTTTTATATGTTTTATTTGTATTAATTGTATACAGCTAATTAATTGTATAATTCTATACATATGTGTGTTTCTCAAAATTCGCATTCATTTTGTTTGTTTGTTTTTCCCGCCAGGTGGATGGTCAGTAATACTGTGCCCTCATGGAATTGTGTACAGCATCAAGTTCAATCTGAGAGCTGAAAGCCCAAGGGATTTTGCTGACCTCCTCCTTTCGTGGAAGCACATGCCAAACATTTGTGTCTATGACTTTGCTCGAGGTTTGGTGGCACATACCAACTCACGTGTGCCTAACAAAGATGCATTCCAGCCTCATGATGGTAGACTTGCTGCACCTACAGAAGAAAACATTGAGGCGGCACTGAACAGAAAACTTCAGGTGTCTCTTCCATGGCTGCATGTAAAAGCAGAAAATCCAGAGGAAAATGCCCATCCCATCACTGGTTCATTTGAGCACTATGTCTTATACGACAAATTTCATGAGGGCAACACAAAAGAGCGCAAGGAATTTCTAAGGAGGATTGAGCTTGTCCCAGAATTACATGGTTGGCTGAACAGTCAAGTTGTGGAGCAGTTCTTTGCTAAAATGCGAAGAAATAACTATTTTTTTTAATAGTATGAGTCCATCCACACGTGTTTATGATGAGAAACATTGTTCATCATCATAATTCTGGCACTAACCTTCAGCTTCTACGACAGCAATTAAAACGTGGACACATACTACAACACCTGGGCAACATTACTTTATCTGCCTTTGGACAAGCTGTAATAGGTGAATGATATATAAACGCTTTCATTGAATACCAAGTTATTTATTATTATTGTTTTTGCCATTAATTTTATTGCTGTGTTTTCTTAAATATCCTTCTGTTTTTTTTCCAGCTCAGGTTGCACAACCCTCTGATAAGCAGCATGACATTCACCAGACAGGTAACACTGAATATTATCAAAACAATATCAACTGCAGCTGAAACCCCACTGTAGTGTTTCTACAATGAATTCGCATCAAGCTAATCACTTAAAATGTGTCAAAGTATTCCTGTCAAACTTTAATTTCAGAGGAGCACCTAGAAGAAGCTGTGGACAGGGAAACCATTTCAGAGCCGGATACTCTCAAAGTCCAGTGTGGCCCTCACTGCGAACTGCTTACCAAACCTGAAACTATATTAGCCAGTCGATCATCATGGTGTACTGAGCTTCACCCAAACCAGGAACAGCTGGTATGCAAAAGGTTACAATTTAGACCACATTTTCTAAAGCTGTTTTTTACTGTAGAAGATGGAATGCAGGAGGTTCTTATTTATTTTTTTCAGCTTAATTATGTCCTGGACATCAACAGACCCAAAGATGAGTTGATTGTTAGAACCTCAAAAGCATGTCTCACCCGGACCGACTTTTGGACCTTGGGTTTAAATCAAGAAATGGAGTCTACAGTATGTGTGTGTGTGTGTATGTATGTGTATGTATGTGTATGTGTATGTATATATTGTCACGATCAGGCGCAAGGAGAGCAGGGAAGCAGGCGAAAGCAGCCAGGTAGTCGGGCAAACTTGCGTTTATTGCACGAACGGACTG